ATGAAGCAATCAAATCCCGATTTGTAAATCGCCTTTCATCCTCGTTGTCTTGAACTTTCTCGTGAACTATGTGCGTAACATTGAGATCATGGTGAATAACAACTGTCTCGGGATTATTTAAATTATCCTCACTAGTTATCTTCATTATATCCCAAAAATTATTTACATTACGATCCCCTACATCGAAATTTTCATGTCCACCCTCGAGGACATTTTTCTTCAATAAAGTTACGCAAAGAGGAGTTGATTTGCGGTCTCGGTTTTATTTAATTACAAACTTCATTTGCAATTCAGAAGTAACTTTCATGAGTGAAACCGGAATGGTTGAATGCTTGTGAAATAAAAAACATTAATTTCATATTGTACTGAGAGAGATCGACGTTGAGACTGTATTGTATATCATGGTACATTTCCATAAATGATGTACTCGATATTATCAAAAATCTAGTAACCCGATCTCTCTTTATTCGTCTATTTCCATTCTCATCGATCATTTTCATTTTTTTGAAATTCACCAAAGTAACAAATCGAGACACGTGTTGATAATATATCTACATTACGAATCAAAATATTAGAAAAACGTTAGATTAAACATAAGAAATTAATCAACAATGATAAGATAAAAAGCGGCTGGCAAGGCTATTTGGCTCCATTATTATTTTTTTCCCTTTTTTATAAAATTATATCCGTATGCTTATAGCATTTGTTGAAATAAAATTTAACGATTTAAAAAACATTTTACTAGAATACTTCAATTTCAAAGTATCAACTTTTGAGCTATTAGCAGCATCAAACGAGTGCTTAGCGTGTTAAATAAAATAAAATTAGACTGAATTAATAAACAAGAAGGGTAACAAGAATGTATTCAACATATCAATCATGCCATAAGTAGAATACAAAATACATATGCATGCGACGGTATCAAAGAAATAAGTTACTTTGTCATTGAATTGAAACAATTTCAAAATTCAAATCTCACAACAATTACTATTTAAGATCATTAATTGGCAAGGCTAAGACCCTGTTCGTCTATCAATATTTTAAAACCTTTTTTTTTTTTTTTCCACAAACTCGTTTTCAATTACACATTCTCATGGTAAAATATTTTATACATAAATTCCAATTATTTTCTACTTTTTAACTACATATTCTTTGAAATTTACAATTTGGAAATTTATTTTCCTACTTTAATGATAGACAAATAGAGCAAAGTTGTAGTTGGCATATATCATGTTAGCCCAAAGTAAAAAACTTAGAGGTCGTTCTCTTTGTTTTTTAGTTTTGAATTCATTTTGAGTTTTGTGTTTTAAGTGTCCATTTTGAGATTGTTGAAAATGTATTCTTTTTATTACTTTGAAAATCTATTTCTCAAAATAGAAAATTGAAAACACTTTTACTTTAAAATATTGAGGATCTTTTTTTATAATATTTTATTCAAAAAATCTAATTATTCAATAAATTTTATTCATTTAATGTTAATATAGTATTGCATCAATCATCAAATTAGGATTGCATTGATCATCAATTCTATCAATTGGTAGGTTACTAATGATCTTGAGACCCTCAATTGCTGTTGTGTCAATCGAATTTGGAGCAATAACTTTAGAAGCAACATCAATTGGATCATATGAAACTCCATCGCGCATACGGATCTGTGATGGTTTCAAACCAAAATCTTAGTTGTTAATTGTAACAATTGGTTGTTGACCCATAGCTTTTCCATCATCAATTGAAGTTTTGTTCCTCGAATTGAACATTTGGAGTAACATAGATTCATCAAATTCGCNACTCTTATACATATATAACTTAAATTAAATTAAAATTCAGAAAAATAAAGATTGTAAAAATTTATAGAAAAATAAAAATAGTTATAGCTCTCAATGATTATTTACATAGAAAATTTAAAAAATATTTAAATGAACACAAACAAAAATATTTTAAGTCCACATTAGTTTTTATTATTATATTCTATACATTGAAAATAATTTATTATTCTTTATTTAATTTTTTAGCGAGAAAAAAATTATAAGATTTACCAACTTTAAAATATATATAATACTTGATAATATACTAACGTAAAATTAATCTTTTTTTACTAAATAATCAAATTTAATGGAATAAAAATGTAATAAAATAATTTCTCAAAATTTCAAACCAATCATGTTTCCTAATTTTCTATTTTGAGAAATATTTTTTCAAAATGACAAATTAAACGTATTTAAAAAAAAACGCAAAACATACCCTCAAACACAGAAAACAAGAAAGAACTCAAAACTCAAAACTGAAAGTCAAAAAACAAACCAAACATGTCTTTAATCTTTGAAGAAATTGGTGCAAATGGTTGTTTGAACCCCATTTCTTCCACGTAAGTTAATAGGAACTCCATCAAGATAACGTGACAAAGAAAAATAAGATATTTTTTAAATATTCGCTAAAAATGCTAACTCAACAAAATTTTTATTCCATATGCAAATTTAAATGTAATTTTGTTATTATTTATAAAGAAGACAAATAAATTGAAAAGTATAGAATGCATTGAAAATCAAAATTTGAACTCAAGTATTTACTTATTAGACATCACCGTCACATCGAAATTCTTAATTTTTATTCTCATTTCTTTTTGTCATATTTTCCAAAAATTATATATTTCACTTAATTTATTTATTTAACGACCATTGTTTGAGCCCCATTATTCTCAAAATTCATTTTTTTAACACTCATTTTCAACCACAAATTTTCTCATAAAATAATTTTACACGTTAATTCAAAAATTTTCCTTATTTTTCAATCACACATTCTCCAGCTTTTTGCTATTTCAAAATGCATTTTCTTGATAGAAAGGAGCCCAAACGGGGACTTAATAAAAAGTAAGGATGCTTAGATCTTTTAAATAAGAAGATTGATACTTTTAACTGTCAAAAACATCCCAAACCTGTTCAAGGTAATTCATCTTTCGCGTGTTCGATCTCATTATTTTCAAAAAATATTTTTTTTTTTTTTGCTTCTTTTCAAAAATATATTTTTTAATAAAATAATATTACACATAATCTTAAAACTGTTTCTTATTTTTTAATTACATATTTTTCATCGATCTATCATTTGAAAATGTATCCTTAAAATGGGGTCACCGTGGACCAGCCTTTTGCATCACGATTAGAAGGTGCGCCAGACACATGTAATTATAATATAAACTACCAATTTGGAGAAGTGTGCGAAGTCAATTGAGCCGTCTATTATAAATGAAATTAGAATCTTTTGAAGCCACATATTTTTCAATTTTGAAGATTCTTGAACCAGTGGACACGCGCGACATGGCAGCCGACCCCCACAAGATTCCATGGATCCACAAGGCATGTCCAGCTTATCACTCCCCCATGGGATGGGACCCCATTTTTCTATTTTCCTAACACATGTACCTCCAAGAAAATCCTGATCAATTATGATCGGACAGAGACACTAAAGATTAAGCCCCGTTGTCCCCCTTTCTCATTTTCATATTTTCTTATCTTTTATTTTCGACCACACAATTTTTAATAAAATAATATTATGCGTAAATTCAAAAAAAATCTTTTTTTTCAACCATACATCTTCCAAAAAAAAAAAAAAAATTC